ATACGCTTATCCGAATCACCAGGCCTTATCTGAATGCTTCTACATGTTTCGATGGGTCACAGACCCACCATCATCACCCCTATGCTCAGAAAAGGTTACTTTCACCACATGTGTATAAAGAGCTTTAAGTTTTTGTTATTATAAAGAATTAGTATAAGAATTATATTTCTTGAAACATGTTTCCATTGACAGAAGATGTAATGATAACATCATTGAAAGAACTTATAATAAGTTTTCTAATAAACTAAGAATTTCACAGCGAACTAAGCTTACAATTACTAATCTTGATAGAAAGAAAATTTGTCTGCCAGATCCTCAGAAGATTTCCCCATATATAGGTAACTTTTTTAAGGGTTTGGGTTTTTAGAATTTCGCGCAAAGGGCTATCTGCGCTAGCCGTCCCCAATTTAACAGTGTAAGACTAGAGAGAAGGCAGTTAGTCATCACCACCCACCGCCAACTCTTGGGCTACTCTTTTACCAACGAATAGTGGGATTGAACGTTACATTATAACGCTCCCACGTCTGAAAGGGCGAGCATGTTTGGTGGGACGGGAATTCGAGCCCGCGACCCTCAGATTGCGAGTCGAGCGCCCTGACCACTTGGCCATGCCGGGCCCACTTTTTTAAGAATAGATTACTTGTCAAGTACCTTTTTCACCCCGTGTCAAACTTAGTTATTTTACTGCTAGTCTTTAAAGATAAAATGACATTAACCTAGTTTCTGTCTGTACGTAGAAGTGTTGTGTACGTGTAGAATTATTCAAGTCACAGAGACCAGAAGTTAAGATTTGTGAACGCTCGGGCGTCGCGTGACAACAAGAGTGAAGTTTAATAATTTTTTTAAGTTTAATTTTTCAAATAAAGAAATTAAAACTCAAATAATATCAAACCTTGAATTATAACGCATATTATAATGCTAATTTCATTGACATTCATTGATACTAGAGTTGCTTAACTCAGTAAAACCTTGTTACATGCGGAGAATAGGGAGAAGGAATGTTGACTCTAATTCCGAATTAACTACACGTATCTACACAAAATCTGTCAGGCTTTTAGTAAAATGTACACGTCTACTGTACACAAAAAATCAGTATTTGTTTTCAAGATATGTATGTGAACTGTTGTTATTTATTACTCTCGGATGCCATAAACTGGACATGGACGTGTAAGAAATAGCTAAAGTTGGATTGGTTGTGTTAGATACAGCTAATATGATGTTTAGTAAATTATTTTACTATTTATTACAATGAACTTGGTTATTTTACTTGGAATATTAATATTTTACTATTTATTGAACAATTTTGATATTCATTTTAAATTATTTTCATAAACATTGTTTTTTTTTGGTTTACTGTTTATACCGTCCTGATATTAGACTCTATAATTTAACAGAAACACGTGTTGTAATAATTGATTTCAGATGCTATTGTTTATTGTTTATTTGTAATTAAGCACAAAGCTAC